TACTCATCCCCCTTTTGTTTCCATAAATTTCATCCACTTAGCGACAAACAATACGTTATCTATTTTTGGGAAGCTCTGATAAGGATACATATAATTCTTGCATTAATTTGCTCTTAGCATTGATTCGGTGCTTTTCTTTATGCTGCGCCGTCCTTTAACTGGTTCATTGTTACTATTTATCAAATCATCTGATAGCAGCAGAAGAATATTCGCCTTTTCTTTGTTCAACATCATGTCATCAGTAGCACTATTATGTTACCATCCTTTAAATCATCAACGTGTAGCTACAGCGTCATTCAATTGCTTTATAGCAACATGACGAGCTATTTCAAGCTGTTCTCGTCGAAGTTTCTTTTTGTATAGCCCTGCAGCAGAAGGAACAGACAGTAAGGTGTGATCCCATTTGCTGCATTGATCCACTTATTTTCTCGTTACACTAATCAAAATAAGTAACGGCTGGGATTGAGTGGTAGCTAGAACTGTACAATATTTAATTTTATGCCAGTAAGGTTTTGTGTGTTCTCAACGGTGGTCGATTTATCGGACTTTGTTTATCACCCATTAGGAAAAAAGGAAAGGTACGCTTTTGAATATCGTCGCGATTGCTCTTTGCTTGTATTTTCTGCACTCCTCGTCATGGAGCTTTCGCGCATTCAAGTAGTTGCGCGTGTCCAAACTGCAAACGATTTCAATAATTTTTCTGGACCACGAATAAGACCAAGTAACAACGACAAGGAGCCTGCCATGGTTCTTGAAAATGCCGATGGTAAGATCGCGTTTTTCTCTGGTCTAGAAAGAAATTGTAAGACAATCACCACTTTTCTACAAGTTAATGTGACCCTTTTTAATAGGCATATCTTTGAATCGCGAGTCGTAAAGTGCAAACTTGTTTTTCCTTTTTTTCACGGTTAAAACTACTCAAGTAGATAACTGACTTTATTACTATAGAAACGAGTACAGTTTTTCTCGATGCCTAACTGATTTCAACTTCGACAATGAGTTTGAACAAACTATAGACAGGACACTTGATGGTATATGAAGTATCATAGATAAGATTTAAAGACAGTTGTTTACAATGATTTTTTTTGTAACATGTATAGGATATGATGCAGCAACTGTATTTATGAGTACCAGGTATGAAAGGCTCTGTGCGAAAAGGCTCGATTTTAATGATCGAAATAGTTCTGATAAGGCTTTTTTAAACAACAATAATAGCTCTACCGACGCTTTTCGGAAAAGGTACGATGACATCGATGAGGGACAGTGAAGCCTTGTCAATTTTCATTAACAAGTGACAAAAGACAGGACACGATACATCGCCTACTTACGCGCCTTGATGAACGGCTAAATTCTTTCAATCAGCGGAAGCAACGACGTGACCTAAATAAGATAAACATGAAATTCGCGTAAGTTCGTGCTGGTGCTTTCTGCATGATCAAAGAAAAGTTACTAAAAATTACTGTTATTTACATGATCCTTAGTTACCTTGGTATCACCGATGACGGTTGCTATGATTTGCGTAGTCAGGGAGAGTTGAAAAGTAAGTAAGGGAGAGAGCAAGAACTCTGTAACAGTTATCATTGCGTGTGTATGTGCGTAATTAGGGGAGTGAGAGACTGGAGAGTGTCGCGATCGAACGTTATGTGGACGATGTATAGACTGAAACAAAACGAAAAACAAACAAACAGATTCAGAAGTATTGGAACATGGACTGGATGCGAGAATGAAAAGCGTCAAGTGTGCAGAAGCTGTATGGGAAAAGATCAAGTTTGGGTCCAAGTTTCCATCGATCCTTGCACTACGCTTATCAGATGGGTGCGCCTTTCAGGGCACGTTGTTGATCGTCGATCTACTGCATCCCTGGTCTCAAACGGTTCAGACTGATTCAACGAGTATCCACTACTCGTTCACCAAATTGAGTATGTTGTTATTGCTTGTAGCTTTTGTAAGGGATGTTTATTTTCGGTAAACGCTAATGTATCTGCTTAGCGGACGCTGTGGATAGAGTTACAGAAACCAGATTTGAAGGAGCTATACCCATTGAGACATCTGTATTGACGAAGCTACTTGGAAATTTCTTTTGCGGCCTGCATAAAACCACAGTTTTTATGGAATTTGATGTAAGAAGGATATTGCGTATGCATCGTGCAGACGTGGGGAACACTTAAGGAGGATCTGATAAATGTAACATGCTACTAAACTAATTAGGTCTTTGATTTCCTTTTCTCTCTCTCTCTTAGGAATACCCCGGGAAAACTTTAAATGCTGCGCTGAATGCACTTGGCTTTGCACAAAAATTACGTCTAATTCGATCTACTGCAGCACGCAACGAACCAGACACACGGATCAAACACTATCAGGAGTTGTCACAAAAACTGCAACAGGAAAGCACACATGCTTTAAACGAGAAGCGGGTCTTGAAGCAGACTATTCAAACATTGAGGGAGGAACACAGTGAGCAAATGGTAATTGAAAAAATAAATGTTGGTTCGAAAGTGTAATGGAAGGGAAATTTAACTGTTTTCATCCTATGCACAGCAAAAAGCAATCCAGCTTGAACATAAGCTCCAACAGACTAGCCAGCAGCTTAAAGATCGAGATCACGAATTCCAGCAACAAAGTGAACGACTTGAGGAACTGCAGAAAAAGACGGATGAGAATGAAAAGGTATGTACGAGCGTGTTGTACTTTGTTCTATGTCATCTGTTGTTCTTTATGCGTAACCTTATTTTAAATTTATTGATTCCTCGTGTTCCAGCTAAATAAATATCGAGAATCCGACTTTGAAAACGCCAAATATCTAGCAAGCTCTCTCGATTATGAGAATGTCTGCTTACTTGAGGATATCCGACAACATAAAGTAGTGCTAGGTAAAATATAAACTTAAATAACTGGAGAGTATTCGTTTGGCTGACATCGTAACTGATATTATGATTTGTTCTTTCCGAACATAGCACGAGCTAAGCGCAGAATCTTCGGTTTGCAAAACGAGCTAGAGAACATGACATCACGAATGGAAGATCTAGAGCGTGACAACGTACGGAGCAGTTACCTTTTCCACACATGTTGTCGTCGTTTGTATTCTAAAACTAATATTCTTGACTTATAATAGGAAGAAGCTCACCAGAAGTTGTTAACTGAGAGGAAAAAGGTTGAAGCTGAGAAGCAGGAACAAATTGCAATGAAGGATACCATATCAGCAGGCTTTGTGCAAGAGCGAAAGATGTATGAGGAGCGAATACAAAAATGCGAAGAAATGTACAATTCGTTGCAGGAGGCAAAAGAGCGCGAACTACAGGAGGAGCGAAAAGCCCGTGAGGAGCTAGACAAGTACATGAGAGAACATGATAAAGAAGTGCAGGTATCTCGTTATATCACTATTGGATGCTGTACGGCATGGATGGCTAAACCATGTTTGTTTTCATTTTAGGAGCAATTTGATCGTTCAATAGAGATCATGCAGAAAGCCAAAGGCGACAAACAGGAACTACAAAACTATATTGATACATTGCAGCGTGAAATCAACCAGCTCAAAGTAAGCGTCTTTTCTCTTCTCTCTTTATCTCCTCAAAGAGTCGGTTATAGATTAATTGGTTCATCCACGAACTACAGGAAGAGCGAAAAGCCCGTGAGGAGCTAGACAAGTATAGGAGAGAACACGATAAAGAAGTGCAGGTAGAAAATAATCTCGTTATATTACTATTGCATGTTCTACGGATTGAATGGCTAAACCATGTTTGATTTCATTTTAGGAGCAATTTGATCGTTCCATAGAGATCATACAGAAAGCCAAAAGCGACAATGAGGAACTACAAAAGTATATTGAAACGTTGCAGCGTAAAATCATCCAGCTCAAAGTAAGCATCTTTTCTCTCCTCTCTTTAGCTTCTCAAAGAGTCCGTTATTGATTAATTGGTTCATCTAGAAAACGCCCTCAGCAAACCAAAACAAATTGCTTGAAAAGTATCGGCAAGAAGCCTACGATTATGCTCAAAAACTTGAAAAATCTGAAAGGGCTGTTCAAGAATGGAAATTTAAAGCCTTAAAAGCAGAGGTAAAAAAATATATTTGATAGTACAGCCGTATTGAATGATATCACTCATATTCGCTTCCTTGTCTCTGCTGGATATATACCATACAGAGGGAGCAAAAGAGCAGAACGGTGGCCGAGATTGATGAAGACTCCGAACCAGAACCATCCGTTCAGCGACGAGTTTTACCTTCACGAACGACCCGAAAAACAAAAAAGTCATATTACGATGTGCCCCTTTCGAATACAGATCAAGAGGAGGAGGACGATAATGAGTTACCAAAAGTCGTAGCTGAGCCACCAGTCAAAGGACGACCAGAACGGTCGAAAAAGCAGCCTCAGCCGGCAGATGACGCGTCAATAGCTAACACCGAGAAGCCAAAGGGCACGGCAACTCGAAAACCGAAAAAGAATTCCCAAGAGCCAATTTTACAGAAAGAGAGCGCTGGGGCACAAACAGACGAAGAAGCTAGTTTAAAACAAGAGCCGAGAGGGCGACAAAAGGAAGCTGTATCAATACCTGATCGCGAAACAGAAGCATCAAAGCACAAAGCTAACGAGGACGGCGAAGACAACGACAATACTGGAGCAGATCAATCCCCCGTACTAGAATATCAGATAGACCTCGAGATGCCTGCAATTGTTGTTGATGAAGATACCCAAAAGCAAGAAGATGAAGTAGAGGAAGAAGAGCAGGACACAAAAAGAGCGAAAGAGGCACTCAATGTCGAAAAGCAAGTAGAGCCATCCGCACCCCCTCGTAAGAAACGGAAATTGAAGTTCGCTAAAGCGTTGGATTACGATGAAGAATTGCTGAGTCCTTTATCGAAAGTGAACAATACTTTAAAAGAGTCATGAGCTTTTGACCGATTGTACATATTCCTATTCATTAATACTATAATGACAATTTTTAATTAATACTACACATACAACAACAGTAACATACATGTACACATCGGTTTGTCCGGACCTAAATAGCAAGCCTAGCCACTCGTCTTGCACGCACTCCTTCTCGTAATTCATCCAACACCTTCACAGTGTCTTCCCAAGAGATGCAGGCATCCGTAATGGATTGGCCATACGTCAATCGATGGGCTCCTTCAGCAGGAATATCTTGACGTCCTTCTACCAGATGGGATTCGATCATAACACCAACAATGTTGTCACCTGTTGCTCGAGGCCGTGCAAGTTGTTGAGCCTACAGATCAAAGCCAAATTGTTAATATCCACTGCAGTAAAAGATAAGGGTGCAAATATGTTCGATTCTTACAACTGATAAGGCAACAACCGATTGGCGCTTGTGGTCCTTATTGCTATTTCCATGACTGCAATCGACCATGATACGGGAAGGGAGTTTTGCTCTTTCCAAAGCTCGGGCCGTCTGTTTGACTTGTTCGGCCTCATAGTTGGGACCAAGCTGCCCGCCCCGAAGGATAATATGACACGCATTGTTTCCCTCGGTTTCAACTAGGTAAAGTTCAATGAAACATATGAACTGCTACAATCTCTTTCAACCATACTACTGCTAAGTAAAAATACAGAGAAATAGAGTCTACTCATACCAATTGCAGACAAACCCTGTTTGGTCACTGACAGAAAGTGATGACCATTGCTAGCTGCTTTGATTGCATCCATTGCAACTGTCACGCTACCATCAGTGCCTAATTTTGATATAGATATTTGTCAGTCTACATAATCTACTTGATATACTTCAGGATGACCCCGGCATGTAGTGTTTAGGACATACATACCATTTTTGAAACCAACAGCACAAGAAAGACCAGAGGCGAGCTCGCGATGCACTTGGGACTCTGTTGTTCTTGCACCAATTGCACCCCAAGAAACCAGGTCGCCTGTATATTGCGGTGAGATCTATGGCACATGATGAATCGGGAAAGATGAGCTAAATAGAGGATCTATTCTTCTATGTCACATCAAACCAAAACTAACGTTATCCAAAAACTCACAGCCCGTCGGAAGGCCCATTTCGTTCTCTAATTAAAACAATGTGCGTAAGCTCTGTCTTGCGTATAGTGCATCGCAGCTGCTACCAAGCTGTGCCAAAACTCTTTACAGGCCAGACCAAGTCCAATAACAGTTGACGTGCGATACGGAGTCCCTTGTTGATTTCGTAACTACATTCCTATGTTATCATCTACACACTTTTTCTATAAACGAACATATACTGTGTGATAAGTTCTGTCCATACCTGTTGCCCAAGAAAGGATCATTGATCAATTTTTTCCAGCCCACTGTCGTTCTCGGCTTTTCAAAATAGACACGCATGATAATTAAAAGATCATCTTTGGCTCGGTTGGCATACGCCAATAGCCGCGTTGCTATAGTTATTTAGATACATCAGCATAAAGGAAAGAAAGAGTTGCGAGGAGCAATAAAGAGAAGAACTTGCCATACTCCTTGGCTGACTTTACGTCGTGGATTGAGCAAGGACCCACCACTGCCAATAGTCGGTCGTCTTGGCCTTTAATCACGTTTTCTGACGCCACACGTCCTTCTAAAATAGTCTGCGCCGCTCTCAGTGTCAACGGAATGTCCTCCATGAGGATCTGCGGAGGAATCAAAGGTTTGACACACTTGATCCGCTTGTTGTCGAGTTCATTGAGAGCTGAAAAGAAGGAAGCACAACATAAAGACAAGTCAGATATCGGCTTGCATAATTCATTGATTCTTGACTGATAAGCTTAGAAGAAATCGAACAATATCATACCTTCGGTATATGCAGTTCGCGATAAACTGTGGGTCATTGCGCTATGTGGAAGCTTAAGGTATGAATTTGGGTGAGAGAATAAATGGATAAAGAGGCGAGGGAACCGGCGCGATGCATGGGTGCACACCAAAGGGGGACACTGTTATTCTCAGGAACAAATCCGTGAAAGGGCGGAATTTTCTTCTATTTTGATCTTTTTTTCCTCTTCTTTCCTATCACAAAAGGCATGCCGTATTCGTACCACAGCCATTCCGGGCAATACTGTCACCATGGTTATGGCTTGCTAGAAGACGTTGTCAAGGAAGCAATTCGCAAAGGTTTTCATGCATACGGCTTGAGCGAACATATGCCTCGTTTTGCCGACAGTGAGCTGTATCCAGAAGAAATAGAGGTACGACCCAATTATGAACTCATTGACAGTTGGAAAAAAAAGTTGACGCCGTGGAAACTGAACGCGTTTGAGGGTTAATGATAATAAATAGGCAAAGTGTACACCAGCAACTTTAAACACGCAATTTGAACAATTCCACGCGCATGCACGTCAACTCGTTAAAAAGTACAGTGGTCAAATCGATCTCATTGTGGGTACTGAGATTGAGTTTATCCACACCCAATATGCAGAATATATTCGCGAAATACGCAGCAAGGTGGACTATGTCGTTGGATCTTTGCACCATGTCGGCAGTGTACCAATAGATTTTTCGCCCGAACTCTACAAAGTTGCACTCGAACGATATGGTGATATTGCATCCTTATTCAGCGCTTACTTTGACGAACAGTACGAGATGTTGGTACGCGTTCAGCCCGAGGTGGTGGGTCATTTTGATCTTGTCCGCATCTTTGCTTCATCTGAAGAACAGCAAACATTGAGCCAGCCGGATATTTGGAACAAGGTCAAGCGAAATATCGACTACATCGTTCGGTACGGCGGAATATTCGAAATCAATTCTAGAGCATGGAAGAAGGGCCTACGAGATGCATACCCTTGCCGCGACGTTATCAAGGTTAGCAAAGAATACTCGCCCTTTTTTTCCTTGTGTGATTTTTTTTTCATCAAGACAGATGACGATATAAGCCAGTCAATACTTATGCATGTTACTTTAGTACATCCAAGAAAAAGGCGGCCACTTCACTTTATCAGACGATTGTCATGGGCCTCAAGATGTCGGGATGCATTATGATAAGCTCAAGAGTTACTTGAAAGAGACAGATATCGAGGTCATTCACTATCTGGCACGGGAAGGTGGCAGGATTGTTGTGAGAGCTGATGGAAACATTTTGAATGATCCCTTTTGGGATAACATTGCAAATTGGTAGAACAACGATTCAAACAAAGCAAAATAGATAGACAAATAGGTACAAAAAAGTATTAACAGGTTGTATGTGTGTGTGTGTGTGTGTGTGGTATGATATTTGCGCGCAATTTACAAGAGGGTCAAGCTGAAAAAGAGGGGACGGAAAAGCAACATAAGATGTAGTGGACAAACAGGAATTATGACTGGAGTTATGGGTTTGGGGAAGTGACGGATGACTATTGGTGGAAGGTAGAAAAGGATGAAGTAGGAGATGGGACCTTTTAACTGCAACAGAGCTGGTGTATATTTTCAGTTCGGGGTCGTCCACTTATTACAGACCTAATCACGGACCGGATGGCGGTGCTGGCATGGTTCCCGCTGCCATATCGGCTGTTGTGCGCCGTTTCTTGGATGGGCTTTGCTCTCTTCCTGCACTAGGACTTTCTGGCTGCATACTATCATTGTCATCATCGGGAGACATTGGCTCTTCACCGTCGTCTGCCTTGCCCTCCGACTCATCTCCACTCAGCAGCTGTCTGACCAGCATTTCACGTCCTGCAGTCGTCGAGGTGCGCATAGTATTAGACAAAAGTTCGCCTTGAAGGCCAAGGTTTTCTTGGCCGATTAATGCTTGGTGCACGTGTTCGATTGATTTAAAGTATTTGACGGTCTAAGTTCGCAATGTAATACCGTGAGCCATAAGGGGGAATAATCGGTACATTTTTCAAATGTGGAGAGATTTCTTTACCTTTACATGCAATTCTAGCGTTGCATCTTCATCACACACTATTAAGCCCTTGGGGTGCATCTGAATTGCAGATACGGTCCACATATGGTTTACGCCCTCTTCTACACATTTGGCCAACGCAATGCTAATGCCAAAACGTATGAGCGAAAAGAATTCATTGTGGATCATATTTCCCGAGTGCATGGTAATATCCCGTTCTGGGCTCTTTTACCTTTTATGTGCTCCAGTAATGATGATGCAAACCTCACGAGCATCCATCACCGTACTACAGTCACAAACAAGAGAAGATGGATCAATACCGTGCAAAGAAAACAATATGATTGAATACAAAGAATGGTATACTTACGCCACACCGACGGTTAATGCCAGTTTGGGCACCTTGGTAATATCTCCATCGAAAAACCGCGAATTTGCAATGATCGTTTCGTATGCCAGTGTCTTGACGCGCGTACGGCTGGTCAAGCTGGAGCCGGGTTCATTGAATGCAATATGGCCATCAGGGCCAATACCGCCGAGAAACATCTCAATTCCACCATGTGCAAGAATAGTTGCTTCGTATCGTCGACACTCTTCTTCCAAATCTGGTGCATTGCCATCCAACACGTGAATATTTTCAGGCAGGATGTCAATATGCTGAAACAAATGAGTATACATGAACGTGTAGTATGATTCGCGATGGTGCCTGTTTTTTTGGGTTTTTAAAACATATTACATTTTAGTATAAACATCATCATCAAAAATGAATTCCAAAAGCCTTTCTCTCAGCCGCCTTCCACAAACAACACAGGTGCTGTTACCTTGGAATACCGACGTATTCGTCCATATTAAATGTGACCACATGTTGGAACGATAGTTCGCCTGCTTTGCAGAACTCGCTAAGTCTGTGGTAAGTTCCCACTGGACTACTACCAGTAGGGAGACCAAGAACGAAAGGTCTTTCCTTGCTAGGCTGGAATTGATTAATACGCTCCTTAATGTAATGAGCTAAAGAAAAGAAGAAAAACGACGCGCGCACCTGTAGTCAGAATCGTACAAACCCTATGCGAAACGATAAGTTCGGAAACGGAAAACGATCTTTATGTATGCCTCCTTACCAGTCCATGCAGACACTTCTTCGTAATCTTGTCGTACTACAAGTCTCATTATATGAATTAAAAAAGTAAAAAATAAGGGAGAAAGGAGAAAGAAGCCGTTTTCTGAAAAGGAGCCAAGGCGCGAGAGAAAAAGTGAAAAAAAGTTGTTGGTAAAAGGGCAGTTCCGCGGGATGCATCATCTCTGTTCCGTGGCCGAATGTCTTTGTGTGACCTCTCGGACTTAGTAGCACCAGTCGCGCTGTGTTGCAGGCAGACCTCAAATACTCAGGGCGGCCTACATTCTGACCAATCAGGAGGCTATATAAATTCTTGATTTACAGCCAATCATGGCTCCATGTAAGCTTTACATGCAACACTGCATGACCACCTGCGAAACATGTACAGGGTTGTTGGCGTCTTTGAACTAAAGTTTGTGGTCAGATTTTGTATAATACACAACATCGCCTTAAACAATCAAAGGACTAACAAATCTTGACGCGGACATTTTGGGTGTATCTTGTATTGCCCCCCGGGGCGGGGGACAGTACGAAGAGACCATTATGTCAGAGAAACGGATACAAGAGTCGGTGTTCCGCTTGTTACACAAACAGTGATATTCTTTATGAAAAAGCAAATATGGTAAACAATACTGTACATTGAAAGATCAACAGCAGAAACCAATTGAGTCCGCTTATATAATATTACACTTCTGCTCCTTTTGAGGCGAACGCCTGTTATCACTCTTTGCTTGAATCTAATACCATTTAAGATCATAAATGAGCATGACAGGGAATAATACAGGTATATTGAAACGGAATGAACGAAGAAGACAGCTTTACACATATTTAACGTACGTACAGACTGCGTAGTACAACATAGAAGACAGGACATACATAAGGCCAATTAATATCAGATGTGTCAACAGGATCTAGTTAAAGCTCGTAACCTGGAACAGCAAGTGCAGCTCTTACAATACTCCACTGCTAGGACTGGCTAGTAAAACTTGGTTTTTCCTGCAGCGAGAGTTTTCATTCTCCAATAGAAATTTAGAGCAGTACCGGCTGGTTTCTTGTACTCTTCTCTCTAACTTTCCACTTTTTCAGAAATGAGCCATGTCACGGTGAAGCTACTAACTCCTCCAGAACAATTTGGCATTGTGGAGCCGGGCATTTATCGCTCAGACATGCTACAGCCGCTACATTTTCCCTTCATCAAACAAATCAATTTCAAGACCGTTGTCATGCTCAGTCCCGAAATTCCAAACCGGGTTACGTCTAATTTAATGGAGGAAGGTGGCATGAAGCTTGTACGTCATGTGTTTCGTGTGTTCCTCTCTCTTTTTTTCTTCTTCTATATCTACGTGTCATGCAAAAATTTTGAGTCGTTAGACTCACAAAAGAAACTGTCACTGTAGGTTCACTTGGGCATGGCAACGTGGAAACCAACACAACCATCGACGTGGCGACCTGTGTCCGAGGAGTTGATCAAAGAGGGCCTTGAATTAATCCTTAATAGTGATAGCCACCCTGTCTTGATCATGTGCACGTACGTTCTCCATTTTCTTTAAGCAAAAATATGTCATGCGTTGTTTAATCGATTTCTTCTCTTTCTATTTCATAGATCAGGTATCCATGAAACCGGCACGCTTGTCGGTTGTCTGCGCAAGTTGGAAGGGTGGAACTTTAGCTCAATCATCACTGAGGTAATTTCTGCGCGAGATTTAAGGCTGTATTGCTCACCGGATACTGATGGATTGTCATTGTTAGTATCGAGCTTATGCTGGCACCAAAGCACGATATGTCAACGAGCAGTTTATAGAATTGTTTGATCTCGATCTCGTAACTTTACCTGCGAATCTTCCGAGTTGGCTGATAGATCAACAGGAGATGCTTGTAAGTGTGCAAAAGAGGGGAAGGGTCTCTTCCTTTTTACATTTAGACTCACCATTGGAATATCATATAGGCTGAAGAACAGGAAGAGCAAGAAGCTAAGCTTCTAACTATGCACTAGACTTGTCACGAGATCATCAAAATTATGTACATACTAATCTTTCCACGCACCTGTATTATATATCCTCAATCACTTCAAGCCTATAAACATATTATGATACTGTTAAAGTTGCATTACAAATAATAAAACTTCGGCGGCCTGTGTTTTACCTCGTTGATTATATACTATAGCAATATTTCTCAGCTATTAACTTAAGAGCAGAGTTCTTACAACGCTTACTTCGATTATATATGTACTGATCAATACAGATCAATAAATGCAAATGACAATACACTTGCGAGCAATGATGCTATCTCGTTTTGCAAGATACCATATCAAAACTAAGTACTGAATTGGGTATTGACATTATGAATCTGGCTTACAAGAGTTTTAAGTGCATGTGGGAGGGTTTGAGCCTTAACCACTAAATTGAAATGAGGGCAAATAAGCACAAAGTGGAGGAAAAATGAATCACGGCCCTCCCCTACGAGTACAATCCTTTGATATTGTAGGATAAAGATGGTATTATTGGTACTACTACGAAGAGTATATATCTACTATATCTAGCTGACGTGGTCCTGTGATATGTACGGTTTCTACTTCTTAATCAAATACTTTTCGGCAACTTCACCAAACTCATCCAAAACATCATGGACCGTATCTCTAAAGATAGGTGCATCGGTTTCCGGGTAGGAGTTCCATGAAGAGATGCTCATGCGTGTACGCTCCTTATCCACAGCATAGGCAATGCCATAACCTTCAGGTACGACTGCACCAAATCCACCATACGACAGATCACCCGGTGACACGTTCGAAGTAGACAAGATCCAGTATTGTGAATTAGCGTATGATGGATCCTGGAAAATTGATGCAGCATCAGAAGCAGCTTCTTCGGGTGTCATCATGCATCGCAAGCCAAGCAAATGACGGTCAACGCCCATGCCGTTTACAGCGGCCTTCATGTAGTCTAAATGACTAGCGATTGCTTTTTCCAGCAGTGCCAATTTATTCACCATCTAATGAACACATGAAGTTATTAGTAATAATGAAGGATTTTCTTCAAAAAAAAAGTTGCAGTATTATACCTTGATATCACCATCGTCCCAAGCTTTCGTGAATGCGACTGAATCGACTGAACAGGTTCGAACAGTTTCAGTACGACCAGTGAGAAATTTTCGTGTAGACGCAGCTTCGTAAGTGGGTACAGATTTGCCATGTTGACGGTAATAAGCCAGCTGGAAAGCCATCTGCATCCAACCATCAGGGCTAACCTTAGCCTGCTTCAACAAGGTAGAGCCGTAACCATGATAGTGTAAGAGAACGCTGTCAATATCCTTGATGAGATTTGCAGCATTATATTGTGCAGTTTTGAGTGCATCGCCAATGGTAGGGCTGACATCCCAGCTTAACCATCTTGGAGCAGCGGGTGCAGACAAGTTAGCCTTGGCCGAATCAAGTGCACCTTGTTCACTATAAGAGATGCATCAATATCGCTGTTTTGATTTATACAATGGATCACGCTTTGCTATATACCTTGTAATGACTTCACTGAACATGGTAAATGGAATGATAGCATCTGCTGGAGCATGCTAAACAGAGGGAAAAATCCGGTTAGTCAAGTCAGTAATAGCGATAATGAAATCAATCACCACATCAATTATCATTACCTCGCCATTGACACCAGCGCGACCATTATTCTCTACAATAAACGACAAAGCCTTATCAAACCACCGGTTACGTGCCTCGTTGCCATGGAAAACATTTCGATGTGCCTGGTCAATGTCAGCCGGAGAGCTATAATCGTCCAGACAAATTGCGAATAGCGAAGTATCAATTTCCTGAAGAGTTCGAGCATTTGTCGGGTTGGTTTCTAGCTCTTCACGAACGTTAGCCCATGTATCCCGATGCTCCGATGTCATTACGCCTACAGGGGGCTGCAACAACTCTCGAGGGATCTTATCCACCTGCTCGACAACACGGCGCAGTTGACTAAACTCAAGCGTATTTGAATATGCTAGCTGTCAGCTGCTTGTACATAGATGATATATGAATATATATTTATATTTACCTAGTCATCGCTTTGTCCGAAAGCACCTGGCCTTCAGCGTCAAATACAGGCACTGAGAATATCTGGTCCTTGTAGATGACGGTGATGTGTTGAGCAGTTGCAGGCCAGTTCGTAACAATCTTATCACGAGGCTTTGCAGCAATACGACTGGCGCCAAACATCTTTTTGAGCTGGTTCATACAGAATGGTCCTGAGCGTGAGACATCAGGCGGGATTTCCTCACTTGTAAATTAGAGTTTGAAGCTTCTTATTAGCCCAACAACACCAAAATACGATATGGTAAAAGTAACGATCGATCCTTACTTGTTCACCTTGTTTGAATAATTAACCAGACTGATTGCAATCCTTGCGGCGCGTTGTAATTGTGGCTCACTTGCCTTTCCGGCAGGGACATTTGTTGCTAGCCCCTGTGGAGGGTCTTGGAACTGGTTCCACCAGTTCACATTGATCAGCGTCGGTACGCGGTATTCAAGATATCCCTTGTTGAGCCACAACTCGTCGAGCCACGATACACCTTTGACTGCTTCTTGTTGATCTAATGCCCGCAGCCGTTCCTGTAATTTTGGACCGAGACCTCTTTCACTGACAAACTGGTCGACTTTTTGACTAACTGTTGCATGTTCGGCGGCGTTTAACAATGGTAACAAAGTTCTTTTGTATCGCTGAGCAGTTGCTTGCAAATCAGGGATCGGAAGGCGTGGAAGTTTGGATTGGTTTGAGAAAGTCTTTGATGTCCCTCGGCAGGAACACTCAAGGCGCGTCTGCCAGCAAGGTGATACAGTGCTGGTCTGTTTGATACGTACAAAGAGGTAGTGTGAACTTCTGTGCAATAAGGAAAGCAAGGGGCTGTTGAAAAAACCTTACTTTTGAACAGTAGCGACATTGGAGAAGCGGGTGCCGATAGCGCGGTTCGGTGTACGAAGGAGAAGCGCCATGAGTATATCTTAAGGGCACCTTGTATTTACGAGACTGTCGAAAGGAAAAGAAGACGGGAAAAGAAAGCAGTTTTAGTCGAAGAAGAGGAGCGAGGGAAAAAATACCGTTTGATGGTCAAGCATGTGATTGATTCATCCGATCCCCGCATTGCTGGTTTGGTTCCTGCGAGATGGTTGCACAGACGAACGCCGACGACTACGCCTTTGAGTCCATCCGGACTGGAACCTCTCCAGGTTATTTTATCTCCCAGTGAAATTGCTCATTGAAGCATGCAGCGCTATAATTGAGATACTCACATCAATGGCCACTGTTATGTTTCTTTGATGTGAATGCAAACGTTTTGTTGAATTTTTTATTAGTATTGTTATTATTTACAGTGAGAATGAAATATGCATGGATTATTATTACAGTGCATCATCCAACATCATGCGTGGCGAAACGTTCATTGCCATCAACTCCTGGAACAGCAGTTTACAAGCGTATGGGATCTGCATTGAGCGTACATGTTTGCTGCTCTTACAGAACTGACACCATGCTGCATAACCGATCAAACCACACTGATCGCACACTTGAATTTCAAAGATATCCGACGAAATCATCAATCGTTCAAGCAGAAGCATACTGGCACCATAGCCGATCAAACAATCGCGCTCCATCTCACCAAGACGCAGACCGCCATCACGGGACCGACCTTCAGTGGGTTGACGTGTAAGCGTTGCACGAGGACCACTAATTGAAAAGAAGCGTAGAAGATCAGTGATCATTGAACAATGACATGCGGGATGCAGCATAAAAGCTTAATCACATACCGTGCACGAGCGTGCATTTTATCCATAACCATGTGCTTAAGTTTTTGGTAGTAAATAGGGCCAAAGTAAATGTATGCAGATAATGGTTCGCCAGTAATACCTACAAATAAGCCAAAGTTCTATTAGACATCTCCACCTTCCAATTCGCTTCCATAGCAATTTGTCAATACGTTTGATTGCTTGTTGCTTACCAGATGTCAAGTAGTCTTTGCCAGAGTAGTTGAAGCCATGATCGATCAAGATCTTGCTCATATCATCGACCTTACTACCGCCAAACGCTGTACCGTACTGTAGCTGACCGGCCATGACACCAGCCTTACCAGCAAGAAGCTCAATCATTTTACCGACAGTCATACGTGAGGGGAAACCGTGAGGATTCATGATAATATCAGGCGAGATGCCCTGATCCGAGAAAGGCATGTCTTCTTGTTGAACAATGATACCACACACACCCTTCTGTCCGTGGCGAGAGGAGAATTTATCACCCAACTCCGGTCGACGGGTTTGGCGTACATTGACCTTGATCAATGTCTGGTCACTTTCCGTTGTGGTAAAAAGAACCTTGTCTACATAGCCGGTTTGTGCTGTTTTGTAACGCATAGGTGCGGATTTGTATGCTACTGCTTGGCCACCGCCAACACCAGGGTCAACACCAGCACTGGTGGGTACTTGCTTATTGATGTAAATGGATGCATCGTGAATAGGTTCACCGACACCCGCAATTCCGTCTGCTTCGATAGCATCATACGAATCGTTCCATAGGTCAGAATCACGCGGTGGTGGATCGGCAAGACGATCGTGTCTATAAATGAAGCAGATAAAGTCATTAGTAAATCTAGGCATAAGCTTAAAAATGTAAATTACAAAAAGGTCAAATATTCTTGTACTAACGTTCCGTTCGGGTATCGTTTAATCATCGTGGCATACTTTCGCATTGTCTGACAGCGTCCAAAACCACGGTCAAGACCAGCCTAATTTTTGATAGATGTTTAGACTCCTCAACTTGGTGCCAGAAAAAAAACTAGGTGTATAATTCGTCTCAAAATACCTTGTTCACGACCAAAGCATCTTCAATATCGTATCCAGAGTAACTCATGACAGCAACAGTGGCGTTTTGACCAGCAGGCAACTATGGAAACCATAAAGAAAGAGAATCCCCGGGGGGGGAAGAGAGCACCTATTAGTATCTGATGATATACAGTGATTCGATGAAAATCAAAGCCTATATCTTTACCTTGTCATAACCGATCAATTCAATTGTTTTACTCTTGACCATGGGTTGTTGAGGATACACCATAAGGTAAATCAAAGTTTCAATACGGTTCAATTGATTATAACCAATAGCACCAATAGCTTGTTTACCCATAGCACATTGATAGCTATAACAAAGTAGGGTCAATGCAACAGCCTCCAACTAATCCATAGCTCTACATAATATACACTTGAAAGATAAAGAGGATGATCCTTACGTGTTACGAGGCGACTGATTGTGATGAGGATAAGGAATAAGACCGGCTACAGCACCAAGGATAGTAAATGGTTCGATTTCAAGATGAGTTGTCACTTGAGGAAGAATATCACGTTCATAGCAAGCGATATTAGCATCGCTCTCTTCATTAACATCGAGGTACTCGACGAGACCTTTCTTCAAGAAGTCATCGAAAGTGAGTTTCTCTGCTATCAGATCCTATAAAAGAAGATAACCATATGTGAGAAACAATGCGACCCATGGGTAAAGTTGTATTCCATCATCGCTTACATTGATATGCTGCTGAGTCACTCTGGGTTTGCCCTTTTCTACAATGATCAGTGGTCGACAGATACGACCACCATCGGATGAAAGATTGACAGTTCGCTGATGGGTATTGACGAAAACCGTAACGAATTCAGATACGCGACCAGCACGACGGAAGCGGCGGAAGTCTGCCACGAACTTTTGAGTGCGGCGCGTAACGCCGAGAATAACACCGTTTAGTAGCACCAGGTAAGTGTTAGGCTGATAAAGCTCGGCACCGGTGAGCAAGTTGACATCTGGTAAAGAAATGACTAGTAAGAATTTTCTTATCCTTATAAAAACGAAGCGAGCAAAGATGCATGTGCAGTAGCACTCACCTTCTACACCAAGAGCATATGCAATTTTTCGAATAGGTTCTTCTTCATCATCAGTAGTAATGTGGGTCATGAGAGCCAAGTTCTTGACGAGACCACAGGCTTCACCTTCTGGGGTATCAGACGGGCACAACATACCCCACTGCGATGGTTGAAGCGAACGGGGACCCGACACCTTACGCGTCTTTTCAAACTGGGACGAAATTCTGGTCATCATACCAAGGGCAGAAATGTATGAAAGACGAGACAAGACCTGAGTAATACCAGCTCGGTCCATCTTGAAACGCTTCAGCACCCAATTACCAGTGGATATAGCACGGACAAAGCCGGTCGTGATGTGATCGCCGTGTAACACAAGTTGATTGAAAATGTCAAATTCTTGAGTTCGGTTGGGTTTCTTAAGTACTTTATCAGCAGCGAGCTTCAAGTCCGAGTTGAATTTCTTGAACAAATCTTCAAAGAGCAGAGATAGCAATTGACCGGCCCTATTTAAATACAAGATATCTACATGTGAATATATGATCCCAAAGAAGATGTAATTTCACCAAATGCGTGAAACCTCCACTTACAATTCAAGTCGTTTGTTACCAACGTAATCACGATCATCCACATTGACTTCATCACCCATAGCAACAAGCACACGTCTGATCATCACAGCGGCGTAGATGCTCTTTTCTCTAAAGTTGAGGTTTTCCACAGGAACATGTGCCAAAATGACAGTAGCCAATACTTCAAGTGCTTCTTCAGCCTAGGATGACGATGTAATTAGCACACTGTAACAACATTTCAATGATTTTGAAAAGGTGCAAACATACCATAGTCTTGCGAACAGTCGAAAGTTTTCGGTTCACCTTGACTTTAGCGCCGATAAACTCCAATGCTTGGAGCTGTGTGAACACGCGCATCTTGGATGCCTCTTCTACGTTGATCGAAAATGTGTCGTGGAGGTCGTGATCGTTACCGCATACCAGCTGCGCAATTTCTCGGTCTGATTGAACACCCATTGCCTGGTGAAAAGATGAAATATCTTACACGTTACTACCAATTGCTTAACGAAAAACAACCATTTTTTTTCAACAAGCAAACAAAAACTTACCTTCATGAAGATAACTACTGGAATATCCTCGGCAATAGAGTTATGTTTCAGGTAAATTTTGCCGTTCTTTACAAAGATGGCAGTTTTGGATTTACGTTCGTGGGTAGAACTATATAGAACTGCTTCTTTAATACCGTGCACTATTGTTTCTCAAAATAAACTGTATGTATAACTGATATCCAGAATCCCCCCTTACCTCTGTACATTAGCTACCACTTCTCCCTTCTTATCAACTTCGACAATAATACGATTCTTTGACAACTGTTCTTGAACCAAAATAACCTTTTCTGTGCCCTTGACAACGAAATATCCACCTACACACATAATCCATTTATTAACCATTTTATAAAATTACATGTTTCAACACCAACTCTCAAGTAAAAAAACAAATATTACCAGGATCCAAAGGACATTCTCTCATCCGAGCTAACTCTGCTTCATTTCTGCCACGCAGTACACAATGAGAAGAGCGCAACATGATAGGAAGACGACCAATCATGACGTTTTTACGTTTGACGATCTGTTTGCCACGAGTATACTCGACGTCGACAAAAATATTGGCTGCATAGGTGAGATCGCGCAATCGGCATTCGTGAGGTGTGTAACTGCGGTTTGCGACATCGGCATCCATACGTTCAGGTCTACCAACGCGAATTCCAGTATATCTATAATTATTTTATCAGAAAGATCAGTATCTCTTTTTCATTCTTTCTCTCGATCAACCACAGAACGACGATTGGAATGCTTGAGATTACTTTAAATAAAAGTTGGGATCGACGTCCGAGGTAACTTTTTCGTTGGCTTTGATAATTTTGCGCAAATCGACGTTGATAAAATAGTTGTACGAATCAATGTGCTGCTTCACGAGACCCTTGACCTTCAAGAATGCTGGCAATAGCTTCCATTTATCCTAATGACGCGAATGTATATCCAAAGTTATTCGGTCAATCCCACACAAGGCTAGTGCAATCGAAAATAAACCAATGCCTATTCGGATCATTCACCTTGATCTCCTTGACAGATTCTGTGATATGTTTGCCTTCATAGTATTCTTCAGTGAGAGGTTCAAAGCCGTCTTTTTCGCTGTTTTGAGCTGCATTGCCATGGTCGTGTTTTCCTTTTACTGGCTCGGGATCAACTTCCATTTTATCAGGTGATTCGGGAGCCTTGGGCTTCTCAGCCTTCTTCGTTCGTGCCATTGTCGAAGCTGGAAAAAAAGGACGACAGACGGGTTCAAGAGAAAAACGAACAGCAGAAACATTTCAGCCACAATTTGAAAGCCCTACCGAGGCAGCAGCGGTGTGATAAAAAAATGGTAGTTCCTGGGCTTACGTTGTGGCCAATCAGAAGGCTGTATAAGAATCCTTAAAGCAGTCAATGACAGCTCTGAATAAGCTTTTACGTGTTACACTCGAAATACTGCTGCATATGGCATAGTAGTGTCTCTAGTTGAAAGAACCAAAACGCATAAAATCAACGACAATTGCAGGCTTACATGGGGTCATAGGTGCAAGGACATTTTGTGTATTTTTCAAATGGATATTTTTACTGATGAATGATAGTTATAGCACTGTTCCCGGTATATCACAGATTGGAGAGAACCCGTACTATAGGTGTTGCATCACATATACATCATATCATTATGCAATGCCATTTGTTTATACAAGGTCCTATTAAAATGCGTAATGAATTTGCGCATACTGATACAAGATTTATCACTTACGTTTTGTTTGATCACTGATAGAATGTTTGGATGGTAGATTAAGTAGTAGTATGCTCTGTCAAAAGAAGCAGTGTTAAAGATAAAAGGATCCCTTTGTGTGCGATGAAAAGGAGTCCATTCTCTATTTACCAGTGGTCATTGATGAAACATGCTGCTGACGACACTAGTGAAACCATGTGATTGATGTGATCAAATAGGTTATAAAAGTAGCATACTGCACGACTCATCGAGACGTTGGCTTTTCTTCCTAACTTTCAACGCGCTTGCCCCGCATCATTTTTTTTTGTTTTTGGCCTTTTGTACGTATGCATTCATTAACATTCTGTCAGTGCAGTTGCTGTTTGATCGTCACGATGAGTGATTCTTTATTTGCAACCAATGGTCTAACGTTCTTTTCGTTTTTTCCTTTATAGTTTGTCTCTCTTTGTCTCTCCCTCTCTCGCTCTGTCTCACGCTCTTTCTCGGGCGCTGACCTGCACAGGGTAGCGTCATCTGAGTTGTGGTTTTATGCTGTGAAGCTGTGTGAGAAGTTGTCGTGTGAGAATTTTTCAGTCTTGATAAATTTCTTCGTTATTATAATCGATTGCATAGCCCACTATTGAAGAGCAGGGCTCTGGTTGAGTCCTGCGCTGCCCGGCGGCGCCTTCACCTGGGTAAGTGCACCTAGCACGACGATGATTCCTTGTCAACGGTCGAAGGGCCGCCACAAAACGAACAGCTTCGGGAATTGAAGTGACCAGTATCTCTTCATGCAGGCTCAACGAAATCGATATTGCCGATCCCCCAAAACTGGGCCACGTATACAAAGGGATGAGGTAATTTCGCAGAGCGTGCAATAAAGTACACTCCCTTAGCTACTGTTATCATGGTAGACTAATTAGGAAATATGACCGTGCCTCCAAATGTTTCCGCCTAGCTCTCGACAAAAACCCTCAAAACTCTGATGTGCGCGTTGGGTTAGGCAAAATATACCACAGTCAAGGCAATAAAATGCATGCTATCCTAATAATACAGGCGTAATAAAACCGGTACGATCATATATGCGACAGGCTTCGTTCCATGATGTATTATGTATGTAAGCAATAAGTTCAGTTACATATCATGGAAAAGAACCTAGCATTTTGTCAGCGAAATTACTAATTACCAAAACGAAATATTGAATATTGATACTAGGTAGTGTCACTATTAATTATTACAAAATGGTTATTTTGATCAAGGAATTGAAAGAATCGCTACATACTACTACTACTACAGATCAAAGCTAGATTCTCAATTTAAGCTTGACTTTCTTCTGTTATGCTTCATTACAAAAAAAAACCGTGGCAAATACGGTTTTGTTTTTTCGACACTAGTTTGAATGTTCACTGCTGCTCCTGAAGATGAGCAACAATATCCGGCAGGAACTACACGTCATCATTAATGAGCTTCTTCGCACGTGACACAAACCGGGCGACACGAACTTGGTGACTAACGCTATCATTTGGGTCTATGGGTACGTCACTTTCAGTCTTGTTCAACTCTCTAACAGATGAGAATATGTAATTTTTGAGTATGTGTATACAAGAATGAGGATATATCTATTGTATATAAGGGAAAGAGGTGACATTTACGCTTTGGTGGCAGTAGCAAGAATTGGTGCAAGCTGGACTTCCTTGTTGAACGTGAACTACGGATAGTAAATGTGTTCATTTTCATTAAATAGAGTTTACTTCCATTTTCTAATTCGCCAGCACATTAATATACTTACACTGTCGTTGGCATTACGATCCAAGTGGATTGCAAGTGTGGGAATACGCAAAAGAGGTCTAGGCACCCCAAAGTACATTAATTAAACAATGTACCTTCTCTATTACACTAACTCAAAAAATTCATCCTTTTACCTACCTGTCCACTTTAACCACTGTGTGACGGTATTTGCCATTGTTGTCTTCGACCATGACGCATCCAGCAACGCCCAAATCACGATCCATGCGTGCCTGATCGATAAACCCATACTTGTTAGGTATCCGAGTCGCAATGATTACTATTTTCTCATGTCCCTTACCAGATACCACCACCGTAAAGCTGGACACCGACTTCCAGATAACCACTCTTTTCCTTTTTAGAGATAGGTTTGACCTATTGTGCATAACAGTATGGAACATGAATAAACACTTCGATCCAACAAGAAGCTTCCCCTTCTTTCTTGTAATCATTTACCTTTAAGCAAGGAGAATCAGTATGCGCGCCCACAATAGTAGACCCGTTACCAGGAACGTATTTGCCACCGACAACAAAAGCAACGATCGACGAGCCGTTTCGAGTAAAATAGTATTTGCCATTGCGTTCAATAGCACCATTCCAGTTGTCACGTTCCTTGATCTCTGTGAAACCTGCCTACATTTACCCCCAACTCCGTACGTAAGGACCAACTTCTGACTGTTGTACTATTCATATTTGCAAAAGAGGTGTGTATACCTGTTTCAGCAGCTCAGCAGCTCCATGAGTGCAGTGGAAGGGCGATGGCGACTTGTTGACGAAATCCACAAAGTCGCGTGCTGGATGTAACAGTGTTCTAATACTTTAAAACCATGCATAAAATCCGAGAAGTGTGAAAGAAAAGTAGAGGGTGACATACCTTCTTGAGGAATAGAAGGATTGAACTATACATTACAATTTGCGATAAAAGCTAACTTAATGTATTACACTTTGATAGCAGCAATAATCGTTTAATGAGCTAGCTTTACCATGATTCTTGTGGAAACGTACGTGAGAGATTACATTAAAAAAAAAAAAAAGAAGCTTGCGTGTGTAGTACATGTATGCGCGAAAACAGACGGACGAAAGTTTCCCCTGACGGAATTGACGGTCATTCCACTGTCAGGTGGGACAGGGCTGAACCTGTTTACCAGAAAAGAAACAAGTTGCCTAAAACGATGGTCAGCCTTCATTTGACGTTGATAGACGTCTAACCATTACACCCGAGAAGATCAGTCAGTATCAATCTATTCAAGAGCTCTCAGGAACGTATCTCAATAGTGGGATTCCCAGTGTATAAGGCAGTAATAATACGTGAGTAGAGACCGCGAAAAAAAATGAACAACTTTATTCTTCTTTGTAAAGATAGCCAGGTAAGAAAAAGAAAGGTTAATACTGCTACTGCTGCTAAGGAGAAGGGGAACAATGACAGCCAAAACTGCTGCTGCTATCGCTACTTTAAGTATTCCATCGTCTTCAAAAATTTGCCAAATCGTTGCACCTCATCCACCAGCAACGCTCCACACTCCAAGGCCGGAAAATGACCTCCCTAAAGATAGCAGAGAGTGAGCAAGAGAATACCATAGTGAAGCAAAAGCATATATGTACATACCATGTCGAGTTCGTTGTATTGCTGCAAATTGAAGTTTGCTTCAAGCCATTCGCGAGGGACCTACATAGTAAGATTCAGTCACCGTGCTGTCAGCTTGTTTGTTTAATGACAATCGCACCATCTTTTATAAAGTAATACCTTGCTTAGATCAGCAGGGAAGCAGGACACTGCACTCGGGATGTTGACGTAAAGCGGGAACACCGCCTTCACTCCTGCATCATTGAAGGTTTCATAGTAGAAACGGATCGACGAGGAAATCGAATTTGTCAGCCAGAAGAGAGTGACTTGAGTGAGGAACTCGTCGGTGGTGATGGTGTCTGGCAACACGACACTGTCATCCTTGTTTTCAGGATATGACCAATTGTGGTACTTTTCGAGTAGCCAAGCTAAGTATTTATTGTGGCAGTTAGTGGGGAAAATGATCAATTACTGATGATAGATGGGGTTATGATGCATTTACCCAAAAGGCCCACTGGACTGTCAGTCAAACCATATGCTAAAGTGTACGGTCGTGTACTCTGGATGGCACAGTAACCAAGTTCAGGATCATTTTCAACGTCGACAAACGATCGGCCCTTGATTTTGGAAGAACCACGACCATAGACTGTGTCCATACCGAGAGCGATGCTAGCCATAAACTTTGCCACCTTGAGTGGGTGGGACCATAGAAAACCGGGCGTTGGGATGGGTGGCATACATCCGGACGTGGCCGTGTGGAATCCCTTGCACTGCTGAGGATGCTTGACAGCGAGCCATTTGCCGACCATGGTGCCAAAGTCGGATCCGTGAACCACTTGAACAGATATGGGTATACATTTATCAGCACATGCTCTTGGTATTGCATCCAACGAAACGGTCATATTTACTGTATTCATCGTAACCGAGTACTGATGTCATGAGCTTGTGAAAGATTTCACCGCTCTTTGAGCCACCGTGGCCGGGAAGTTTGGGTGCTTCTGAAAAGCCAAAGAACTTTGGATTTCCGCGCGGTAGTGATGCCACTTGTTCATTTCGGCACGCGCCTTTTCCCAGTTGTAGTCGTTGAGCCAGGCTTGAACGAGAGGCTCAACAGCTCGTCGAGGTGCACCATACTTCCAGCCGACATTCTTTTCGAGCTCGTTCGGATACTCAACGTTCTGTAGCTTTTCTTTGAGCGAAGCAAGACGCTGAGGTGGAATGGACGGGATTTCAAAAGGTTCGATGCTAGACATGGGTCTTGTCTTATTCGTGTTGTGTGTGTGTGTGTCGACACAGAGAAGGAAAAAGGGCGTGTGTGAAAAAGAAAGAAAGAAAGAAAGGATCATTGCTTCATGCAAACCGAGCTGATATAAATAGATAACACACAAGCCGCGTGGTGGACCGGAAGGGTTAAAAAGAGTACGCTATCAGCAACGGGTTGCCATGGTAACGAAGTCGCACGAACGCCGCAGCAGTCTGTTTAGGTAAATCTTACGCAGGGCTGCGGTGATGAATCCATTGATCAAAGACAGGTTCTTTTACATCACCACAAGGCAGCGGCATCAGTCATTTTTTTTATCAGAAAAACAACCCGTACGAAAATCCTCCTGCTCTTTTAATGTGCTCATCGTTCTTTCTTGGATCACAAGCACTGTGTGTAACAGGATCGACATGCTTCCTTATTCGGCACATTGTCGCGAGAGCATCTTTCACTGGTGCTTAGGGGCATATAGGGAAGTCGATTTTCAACCACACTTAAACCATTCTGCTTTCTTTAATACATGTGAGCCCAAGCCGACTCTTCTTTGATGGCACAAAACCCTTTGCCTTTAATGAGTATCTTTGCACCCCGAACACTAGATCTAGTGTCTCCTTTGAGTGTTTATAGCAGTTGCAGTTTTCGCTATTTTTTCCTCATATTTCAATATATACAGCATAGGGCCATGATATACCTACATGGCATTGGATATGTTTCAGAACGTATTGTTTGCTTTGTTATACATCTTTCAATTCGGTCGGTAACAGGTGGTAATTTTAGACACTAGATCTAGTGTCTACTTCGGGACTGTTTATATTCTTCAAAACAAAAGAAAAGAGGTGAAAAAAGATGATACAATAGTAGAATGGCACAATTAAAATTATTCTATATAAGTTTTATCATTGATGTTGTGTTTGTTTTGCTTGTAGGTGAATTCTATAACAACTACCTTTGCATAGACCCTTTGTCGGAGTGCAGCTGCAGTACAACGTGCTTTTTGCTTTGCAGATATAGCAAATCCACTGGCGAGAATACTTTTTGCCAGTTGCCTTGACAACGCGTTGGCCAATGGATAACAGATCATGTATCTCATTCTCTTGGTCCTGCTGCTGTTGTTCTTCGGTTTCCGTTGCCATTTTTACACTTGATCGATATTCGAATATCATCTCAGTACAGAGCTGCTCTCGAAATGCGAAGTGAGTAATGTTTCTTTTCTCTGGTGGTCCGAATGATCGCCATGCAAGAAAAGCATTTGCTTCTGCTAAAGCCAAAAAGAAAGAAAAGGCTCGGATCTCCCAGGAACGTGTGCGAATAATATCATGGTATGATGTCATGTTATCGCGGTTGTTGTTGTTGATATCTACTGCGCCTTTTCCAGCATTGTAGTCGTCAAAAACAGTTGGACGACGGAAGGTCGCAATATAGCTTTGGTTTCCCCGCTTCATGACATGAGTCACCTCTGAGCCCAGTGTTGTTGTGCTACAAGTGCTGATGACGCACTGCGGTATTCTGTCACGAAGAATACAGATGGCCATAAGGACCTCATCGATGGTTCCAACCAGCGAAATTGAAGATCCAGCTTCCTCCCCAAGTCGAGACAGCAAATCACGAGGTACATTGCGCGGCCAGTGTGCTCTCTTCTTCATTGCCATAATGCTGTAGAGCCCATGCTGATAAAGAACAGTGGCACATGCAGGAGTTCCAAACCAGGAATCAGCAAGAACTGTTCTTCCAGTCGCAAACCAAGGTTCGGAGAGGCGCAAAACGGTGGAGATGACAGCACCTTGATCACCAAACTTTTTTCACTGAAATGTTTTCTCGCTGATATCGAGACGAATAATGATGTTGGTCGTTGCATCAGCAAGTGTATTAAATTCTTGACCAACAGGATGGGGTTTGGAAATGATCTCCTTGACATTGGGATTCGCGAAACCTTTCCAACCTATTGGTTCATACTCTCATCAATTGTCAACATGCTTCCAGGTTCCAAGGCATCAACCAGATTTGCATTGTACTCGTCAACAAATGCACGAATAGGGATCAAAGGATCTTCGGCTCATCTTGATTGCATAATATTTGGATGCTCTAGTATATGAGCTGCAAGAATGGCGTCAAATCGGCGTCTTGACATCCATCGTCCAAAGTTAAGGGGAGAAGGAACCAATATCGTTGGATGTGTTCTCCAATAAAAGCCTCTGTCACTGCAGGGGAGCCATGCCATAATACTCCAAAGTCCAATCCAAAGGAAGTACTCAGTGGGGGTAAGTTCGCGCCAGTTTGGGACATCTATGGCAGCGGCTTGGGCATTGATAGTAGGAATGCAATATGTCGTGATATACATCATTGGGAGGAACCTCTTAAAGAAAGTAAGAGGCATCTCAAAGATGGAATTGGCCACATTCAAAATGGCAGCTTCCTTGTATGACGGCCTTGTAGAACGCCTGTCGATCGTTACACGTTCACTGATCCAAATTTCTTCTTCTTCTTCAATGTCCCCTTCCTGCAAGTGCTCTTCAACCAATTCTCCTTTGTCACTGGATTCATCACTTGCCGACTCATAGTCAATACCCAAATCCACAAGGGCA